GGGGCGCGGGAGAAGGTAACCTATAAATCTTCAGCACGAAGGTTGTGCTGGTAACCATATTTACAGTTCACAAAAAAATGTCCTTGTTCATCTTATATGGATTCCAATGATCTAGTATGAACTAGATGTCGGATTTGTCATTGTCTAAATCTTATGTTTCATGGGTACAGAAAGAGTACAGATGCAGGTCTTGAGATACGTGTAACAAATATACATATACAAATGTTACTATCATTTGAAGTCATTGAACTAAAACAACTATATATAAATTCTCCTTAAATATCTCTTTTTCCCAGTCTATATCATACAATATCATAGTTTTCCAATACTTTAAATGAATATTATATACATAGATACATATAAATATAGACCATTGCCTCATTAAAATTTCAAAGTTCCATCAAAAGGGTATAAACAGAAGATGTATAATCAAAGGTATAAACAGGGTATAAACAGAAGGGTATAAACAGAAGATGTATAATCAAAGGTAATAATATGATGATACGGTCTAGAAACTGAATAGCAGCTATGAAGAAAGAAACAAATACAGAAAGAAAGTAGGACAGCTTATGTTAGAAATCCTTAGTAACTATAAGGCAGGAAACTAACCGGATATTGATCATAGATCAAGTCCCTACGACCTTTGCCTGGGCTTAATGGATGAGTGTGCTCCTTGACAAATTTTGTGACAACCCACTTCCCAGAGTTTACTTTTCTAACTAATATCATCGCTCTGCAACCAACCCTAGTCTCTGCTCTTTGTCGCACTATCTTTTCCCGCTTATCAGGCATTCTAAAGCCCTCCTTGTTGCAAACTAGTGCTCGACCAATAGCAGAGCCATCGCGCCTAGATCGCGAAAGCTTGCTAACCCGGATTATGAACCCCACTCTTGTTGCATATGTATTATAAAATGCATGTGCTGCTGCTTCAGATTCAAACTCCTGGCCAACATAAGGTTCATCTGAAGTTGAATTACCTAGTGATTGTGATTCTTCTAATGGAACGACCTCCCTATCAGAAAGGTCTTCATCTACCTTGACATCATGCACGTCGTGAAGTGCCTCCTCACTGGAACTTCCTCCAACTGCATTTTCATCTACTGCCCTAACTTCCACCACCGTGCCCTCTTCCACCTCGCCTATTATGTGATCATCAACCACAAAGTCCACTGTTGCATCAATTGCGTCAGTAATTTGTTTATAGACATAGAAAAACTTAAAACAGAGTGTAAATACTCCACACTGAAGGATATCCACATTAGAGTAAAGATTATGATTTGCAGTTTGAATATAGATACAACTCTATGTATTAGATCCTGAAAAGGGCCTAAAATTCTACAATAATATGATCTAACCTCATCTACTACGACTCAAAACTCTCACTAAGATTTTCTTTCATATGTTTTATGGGAAAATTTTTCTGGAGAGCTCTTAGCACAAATATTTCAATTTATGTTCTCAAGCGTGCTACCTATGGACGTATTTTTAGACAAGTAAGAACGAAATTAGGGAAGACTTTACTGAAATTCTGCAGCTTGAATGATTCACTAGTTGAATCAAAATCACCTAATGCTGGTCACAGCCCCAGTGTGGCTCATGACATACCGTCAATATGAATGCAATAACAAAAGATTGCAATCAAGCCGGTCAAAGATTATGCTTTGGCAGCAACAAAATCCTAGTCAAAATGATATAGATTGAAGGAGGAACCACAACTAAACACTCACTACTGCTTATACATAAAAAATAAAAAATAAAAACTACGCCTCAATCCCAAACTAGTTGGCCTTGGCATATGAATCCTTAATATCCATTCCACTCCATTAGGGGTTCTTAAAACTAGGAATTCTCTAAACCTCACACTTATTTAACAGTTAAAAAAGCTACTCGGGCAAAAAATTCAATCTTTTTGATAATATAAATAATTCAAACTTGGCATATAAAATCTGTTTAACTCATTAGCATAACTAATTCAAACGCCAATTCATAATTAACGCTGTCCCAAGTAAAAATGTTATGGAACACATAAAAAGCTAGATAATTCAGCCTGAAACATCAACCCCCAACTCAAATTTGAAAAAGAAAACGCCCAAATACAAGGAAAGTTCACATAACATAAAAATCAATGTTCAGCCAATAACCACCACCAAAATTCTGAAATTATTCTCTGGGACTCGGTACCCAGGGGCCAAAAAAGCAAAATTTTCGGTAAAATTCAAACTTTGTGCGCTTTTCTCCTAAATAAAAGGAATAAAAAGTAAAGAATCGGAAACAAGTAAACTTACTCCAAATTTAATTTATAAGGAAATGAATCCACGTTGTGAAGATTCGCAGGAACAGACAGACACGGGTGGGGGTGCGGGGGAAACGGAGAGAAGAGAAAGAGGGCTTGAGGGTTCAGAGTGGTGGCTATATGTGGCCCTTAGTGAATGTGAGTTGTTGAGTTGTGATTGGGTTCGACGAGCATACGAAGTCAGCAATTTTGGGAGCTTCCAATGAAACAGTAACACGTGTTATCGTCCATGGAGTGGACTGTGCGCTATTATTTCTTCTGGACCCGCGAATGGATCGGGCCTAAAATCTGGACCGGGTCTAGCTTCAAGCTATTGCTGAAGTGTGATTTGTAGTCATACCCTATATTTATGCCACCTTTTAATATGTATCCTATTTTTAAAAATCATTGATTTGGTAGCCAGCTGACAAAAAATTCATAATAATATGACCATTATACCCCTAACAAAATATATAAAAGATGCATCACGCATAAATCATTTTACAGTTCTCCTCCATCACTCCGTCTCTCCTCAGATCTTCTCTCGCAAACCAAAAATTTGAACGAGATTCAAATTTCAAATTCAAAATTACAAAATACATTGTAAGTATTGTAATTTATCTTCAGAATTCAAATTAGTTTTTGAAACTGATTGATTTTCATGATATATGTTTCTATAATTATTTTTGTAATTCACACTTGCATGAAGTTGTTTGACGGATGAAACATGAACTTTTCACTGATAGATTTCACTGACGAATGAATTTGCATTCTAAATTTGTTTCACGTTGAATTCTAAAGTGAAGCAAAAGATTCTTCACGTTAAACCTAATTTAACGTCAAAGCTAAAAATTCAAATATGGTGAAGTTTTGTACTGCATAACATGCTAAAGTTTTTGTTTATTTACTAAGCAAGCTGAGTTTTTACATAATTTGCTAAAACTGGACACCAAAAATGCTAAAGTATTTGTCTTGCAGTCTAAATAAGCTGAAGTGTTTTAGTTCATTTGCTAAGATTTCAGAACTAAAATATGCTGAAGTTATATCCTGTGTTCAATAGTTTTGTAATGAGCTTTTTCCGAAAACTTCAGCATAAGATGCTAAAGTTGTTTAGTTCATTTTTAAAAACTTCAGAAAAAACGAGCTGAAGTTTTCCTCCTGCACTATGTAATTTTCAAGTGAATTTTATTTAATGCATGCTGAAATTAAATTTAGTTCATTTACTGAAGTTTTGTCCTGCATTAAACAACTATTTTCATGAGCTTTTCTCCGAAAACTTCAGTATAAACAAGCTTTTTTTTTTCTGCTCAACAGTTTTATAATGAGATTTTTCCAAAAACTTCAGCATAAAATGCTGAAGTTATTTAGTTCAGTTTTAAAAACATCAAGAAAAACGAGCTTAAGTTTTCCTCCTGCATTATGTAATTTTATTATGATTTTTTGCTAAAAATTCATACCAAAAAATGTTTAAGTTTTGTAGTATGTTGAAGTTTTTTAGTTCATTTCCTAAAACATGCTTAATCTTTTGTCCTGCAATATATAATTTTCTAATGAGTTTTTGTTAATGCATACTGGGGTTATTTAGTTCATTTCCTAAAACTTTATATTAAAACATGCTAAAGTTTTGTAGTATTATGCTGAAGGAAAAACACAGTTTTTCCCTCTGTTATTTTCTGAGTTTAAAGAGAATTATATTTAAAAAAACGTACAAAACATTAAAACAAAAACATTGTCTTTCATTAAATAAAATAAAACATAAATTAAAATTACATAAAAAAAGAAATAAGATAATGGCCCTTTAAACAAAAGGATTATCCAAAAAAATAAAAATAAAAATCTAATCGTCCATATTATTATCGTCGTCACTGTCAGATGGACGAGCGTCTGCATCACCAAGACTATCATAGGAGCCATCTCTGACCAGCATCTCAAGCCTATCAAGCTTGGTGTTGATTTCTTCCAGCTCCCTATCGTCCTTGTGTCACGACCCAAGTTCGCCGTTAGTGAACTGTCGTGACGGCACCTAGTCTCTACGACTAGGTAAGCCTAACAATTTGCGAAAAAAGAAAGCAAAAAGTAAAACTAGCCAAGAATTACGGATAAAACATAAATAAAATGTTTAAGATGCCGCTCGGAATATACGATATAAACTCCCAAAACCCGGAATCTCATGAAATCATAAGCTGTTGAATAACTACAAGTGTTCTAACTCCAGAATGTCTAAACAAAAGTAAATAAAATAGAGCTAAAGCTAGAGGGAAGAATAAAGAAGGACTCCTCGGTCTGCGGACGCGGCAGATATACCTCGAAGTCTCTGAAGATCGTCTCGCCTCACTGATGGTATGGTTGAGCCAAAGAACCTGGATCTGCACACGAAAAAACATGTGCAGAAAAGGGCATGAGTACACCATAACGGTACCTAGTAAGTGCCAAGCCTAACCTCGATCGAGTAGTGACGAGGAAGGTCAGGGCCCTACTAGTTATATAAATATATAAGTGAGGTAAAACAGTATGGAATACGACAATATATTAAGTATGCTAACAGTCTATAGCAAATAAAATCACAGAAAGAATCTAACTCAATACACAAAAATAGCAACAGGGGATCTCTCGGAATATCGTCCCGTAGTCCAAATCGTAAATGTGCAAGGAAAACTCCCAGAATACCAAATTCGTAGTCCCAAAGTAAATATCTAGTACGGAGAATCTACCGAGTGCTGTCCCGTAGTCCCAATCATAAATGCGCAGGGGGATATACCGAAATACCGATCCATAGTCCCAAAGTAAACAAGCAGGGGGATCTCCCGGGATATCGTACCATAGTCCCAAAGTAAATACACAATCATCTCAGAAAAATATACAGTTCTATTCAAGAATTAGATAGGAATTTCTACTCTAACATGCTGCACAGAGTACAAGTAGGCAATTAAAGCAGGAAAGACAATTAAGTCACGTAGGCATGCTTTTCCTAATCTAAACAAGAGGCTTTAAGTACAAGTATTTGCTAAACTACAAGAAAAAAATGGTATTAGCTTAATGAAAACGGAATTTTCAACAATTAGCATGTGTACGCACTCGTCACCTCACGTACACGACACTCATATAACAACAATACCAAATTCTAAGGGGAGTTCCCCCTCCCCACAAGGTTAGGCAAGCCACTTACCTCGAACCAGCTCAATCAACTCGAAATCACGTTCTTGCCACGAGTACCCGACTCCAAATGGCCCAAATCTATTCAAAGTAATTGCATAATGTAAATATAAGTTCAAGTAACTAATTCAACCAATTAATTCAAAGCTAACACGCGAAATTAGAAAAATCGCCAAAAAGTCCCCCGGGCCCACGTCTCGGAATCGGATAAAATTTGCAAAACTAAAATCCTCACACTCTCACGAGTTCATACATATCAAAACATGAAAATCGGACTACAAATGACCCCTCAAATCCCCAAATCCAAGTCTCTAATTTCAAACCCTAAACCCCCAATTCTAACCCTTATTTTTCATAAATTTCTTGCCAAATCAGTAGAATAATACCATATAAACGAGTTTGGGTTCCAAAAATTTTACCTCCTTGAAGCTCACTTGAATCCTCTCTCAAAAACCTCCCAAAAAGCTCAATTCTCGGAAAAAAATGGTGAAAGAATCGGCTAAAATCGCAACAGAAACCTTATATAGGTTCTGGCCCAGGGTTTCCGCACATGCGGCCATTTCCTCGCTTCTGCGGTCTAACCAACTGCATATGCGGTTTTCACTTAATGCACTAGGACCGCACCTGTGCCCATATACCCGCCCATGCGGTCCCGTATGTGCGATAAAGCACCTGCACCTACGACTTCTGACTTTCCCTCATCTCGCCGCATTTGCGGCTGACCACACGCTTCTGCAGTTCCGCACCTGCGGTCCCCAATCCGCAGGTGCAGTTATGATAGTAATTCAGCAGTTTCAGCTGCACACCTTAACTCCCAACTTCCCGTCAACCATCCGGAATCATCCCGAGACCCCCGGGACCTCAACCAAAAGTATAAACAAGTCATACACCACTATTTAAACTTATACCAATCTTCGGAACACTTAAAACAACATCGAATCATCAAAACACTCTCGGATTCAAGCCTAAGGGTTCTAACACTTCCAAATTCCACTTTCGATCAAATAGTCTACCAAACCTCGCCCGAATGACCTGAAATTTTGCACACACGTCCCAAATGACACAACGGACCTACTCCAACTTCCAGAATTCCATTCCGACCCATATATCAAAATCTCACTATCGAACCGGAAACTTCCAAATTTCAACTTTCGGCATTTCACCCCCAAAACACAATCCGAACATGCCCCCAAGCCCGAAATCACCCAACAGAGCTAACAGAACTAGCAGAATTCCATTCCGAGGCCGTCTTCACCCCGCCCCGACTACGGTTCAAATTCTAAAACTTAAACTCTAATTTAGGGACTAAGTGTCCCAAAACACTCCGAAACTCACAACTAATCATCCCGACAAATCAAACTAGCAGAAACAAACACGGGGGAAGTAGTTAATAGAGTATCATCCAGTTTCACCTCGAATGCTTCTATGATATCTTGCTTAATTTCGTGAATGATTTGCCTGATGACAACATCCATTTTTCTCTCTTTTATCTCCTAAAATATATGTGTTTGAGTGAATAAACTCACAAGGCATAGGGTACTTATATAGGCGAAAAAAACTTCTGCATGGTATATGAAAAGGTATAGAGGAATTTCACCTTGAATGCTTCTATGATATCTTGCTTAATTTTGTCAATGATTTGTCTGATGACAACATAAATTTTTCTCCCTTTTGTATTTTATCTCCTAAAATATACGTGTTTGAGTGAATAAACTCACAAGGCATAGGGTACTTATATAGGCAGAAAAAATTTCCGCATGGTATATGAAAAGGTATAGAGGAATTTTAAACGTCCAATGAAAAGCGTGCATGAATGTGATAGGAATGTAATTATTAGACTAACACATACCCAACGCAAAATAGTTACTACATTAATTGTGTTTGTTACGTTTACTCTTGTATACTATACAATTAATGCACTCTAAAACTTCATGCTAAAACATGCTGAATTTATTTAGTTCATTTGCTAAAACTTCAGCATATTTATGCTGAAGTTTTTTAGTTCATTTGCTAATACTTCAGCAGTAAAATATGCTGAAGTTTTGTCCTGGATACAATAGTTTTGTCGTAAAGCTATTTCAAAAACTTCAGCAGAAGATGTTGAAGTTTTTTAGTTCATTTGCTAATACTTCAGTGCTAAATATGCTGGAGATTTGTCTTGGATTCAATAGTTTTGTCGTAAAGCTTTTTCAAAAACTTCAGCAGAAGATGTTGAAGTTTTTTAGTTCATTTGCTAATACTTCAGTGCTAAATATGCTGGAGATTTGTCTTGGATTCAATAGTTTTGTCGTAAAGCTTTTTCAAAAACTTCAGCAGAAGATGCTGAAGTTATTTAGTTCATTTCTAAAAACTTCAACACTAATAAGCTGAAGTTTTGTCCTGGATTCATTGTCATAAAGTTTTTTCAAAAACTTCAGCAGAAGATGCTGAAGTTATTTAGTTCATTTGTACAAACTTCAGCACTGAATAAGCTGAAGTTTTATCCTATAGTGGACACTTTTGTTATGACTTTTAACCAAAACTTCAGCCTAAAAAGCAGAAGTTTTAACCAAAACTTCAGCAGCAGATGCTGAAGTTGTTTAGTTCATTTATAAAAACTTCAGGATAAAACACCTAAAAGTTTTTCTCCTGCACTATGTAATTTTCTCCTGCATGCTGAAGTTAAATTTAGTTTATGCCTAAGTTTTGTCCTGCATTAATCAGCTTCTTCATGAGCTTTTTTTCAAAAACTTCACTATAAACAAGCTGAAATGTTCTAGTACATTTGCTCAAACTTCAGCTTCAACGTGCTTACATTTTTTATGACCTTCATAATTAAATTCTTTTGTTTAGTTTCCTGATACTTGACCCTAAACATGCTTCTATAGGATGGGTTAGATTTGCGTTGTTATTACTTTCAATGAGAGGTGGACTCTTGATTTTAAATACTTGGATCATGATACAAAAATTGTTTAGCTTAATAAATAAGTATCATTCAATACTTTCATGAAGAAAATTAGTGAAGTTACAAATATTGATTCAAGCAGATATTCACAAAAGGTATGGTTTGATATCAAACTAAATACAAGCAAATGAATGCATGTAACTTCAGTGAAGAACTCAGTACATGTATACATTTGCTAACAAGTAATTTAGCCTACAAGAATTGCCATTTTGTCATCGAAAAAATACAACATATTTCTGACAGTATAGGTGCTTCAAAATCTGCAACATTCAAACAATCTCTTGCACATACAATAGATTCCGAACCATTTGTTGATTATCAACATGAACAAGGACAGCCAATAATGGAAGTAGACAACGAGCAACAACCTTCTAACATTACAGCTGCTTCAGAATATATAATACTGCAATAATTACCCGCTCCTCCAATAAATTCATACCAGTTTGTCAATGACCAAGAAGAAGAAGGACAGCTAATAATGCAAATTGACAACAACACACATCCAACAAAGTTTTTTGTTACCTTCTGCAATGATAAGCAACAACGAAGACGAAGTAAACATGGAATTTATACCGATAACATCAGGTACAATTGAAGAAATTGCTGAAACTTCTAGTGCTTCTAAGAAATCAAGAAAAAGAGTGAGGAGAAAGCTGAAAGAATCTCCACCATGTAAAATACTTAGGCACGATGCGTTGCTTGAGGAAGTATGTAACAACCCGACCGGTCGTTTTGAGATTTAGTGAGTCGTTCAGTAGTTTGAGGCCATGAGTAGCTTCACTTCAACTATTATGACTTGTATGCATGGTCGGAATTGAATTCCGGAAAATTCGAGGTTTATTTGGAAAGAGAATTCTCAATTCAGAAGCTTTAAGTTGAAAGAATTGACTAAGATTAGATTTTTGAGTAAACGACCTCGGAATCGGGATTCGAAGGTTCCAGTAGATTCTTATGATGATTTCAGACTTGGGCATATGTCTGGATCGGATTTTGGAAGACCCGGGAGCGTTTCGGCACCTATTTGAAAAGTTAGCATTTTTGGAAGAATTTCATAAGTTTGGATTGAAGTGCATTTCAGTGTTATCAATGTCCATTTGGGATTCCGAGTCTGGGAATAGCTCTGTATGGTGATTCTGGTATTGGGAGTGCGATCGAAAGTGAATTCGGAGGTCCGTGGGTCATTTTGGAGTCATTTGGCAAAGATAAAAATTTGAAGGTTTTTAAGGAGTTTGACCGGAGGTGGACTTTCTGATATCTGGGTCGGAATATGATTTCAGAAGTTGGAGTAGGTCCGTAATTTCAAATATGACTTGTGTGCAAAATTTGAGGTTAATCGGACGAGATTTGATAGGTTTCGGCATCAAATGTAGAAGTTTGAAGTTCTAAGGTTCATAAAGCTTGAATTGAGTTGTGATTTGTGATTTCGGCATTGTTTGATGTGATTTGAAGCCTCGAGCAGGTCCGTGTTATGTTATAGGATTGGTTGGTGTAACTAGACGGGGTCTTGGGGGGCTCGGGTGTGTTTCAGAGCATTTCAGGCTATTTTGGAATTGTTGTTTGCTTGTGTCTGGTTTCCTTCTTCGCGAACACGAAGGAAGTACCGCGTTCGCGAAGAGGATTTGATAGGGCTACCGAGTTTGGCCTTCGTGAATGTGAGGCAGTAGTTGGTTAAGCCTTTGCGAACGCGGCCAAGGCTACGCGAACGCGAAGACGGTAAGGGAGAGCTGGGCCCAAAGCCATTTGGCCTATGCGAACGCATAGAGGATAACACGAACGCGATGGGTCTGGGCAGCTGACTTTAGCAAACGCGATCAGCGGATCGTGAATGCGGATATGGATTTTTGGGCATGAGATTTTTGAGCTTCGCGAACACGAGGGATGTTCTGCATTCGCGATGAAGGGTCGCCTGAGCAGTGTTCTTTTAAAATCGGAGTTTTGGCTCATTTTCACTTCATTCCTTCCATGGGAGCCGATTTTGGAGCAACTTTAGAGTGCCATTTTCATCACTAAGCATGAGTTTTTGAGCATTTTGCATCGATTTGAGTCTTCAGAAGGGCGTGGAATGCCGGTTATGGAACTTCAGAGCGAGGTTAGTCTTCTTTCTAAACTTGTAAGAGGGAATTGTTTCCATAGGTGAAATAATTGATTATGTGCATCTATTTTTGGGGGCTACATACGCACGAGGTGACGAGAGTCCGTGCGTAGCTTCATTGTGCTTATGTCCGGGTAGTCTAGGACACAAAAGCATGCTATACTTGAAATATTTGTAACCTGGTTGACAATTTAAATTGCCTAAATCATATTGCATTAGTAAATGAATTTCTAAAAAGTTAAACTTCATTTTCTGAAACGTTAAAAGAGAAATGACTTTTCCTTGGATAAATGTTGCCTGATGAATTCTTAATTGACTGCTTGAATATGTGCATCTAGGCGTACCTGCATCGCACATATGATTCGCGAGCGGGGTAACTCTATTATTTATATTTGACTGTGTCACATTCGCGAGCGGGGTAATAGATGCATCTATGGTTTGCGCCATTCAATCCTCTGGCAGTGCACATGATTCGCGAGCGGGGTAATAGATGCATCTATGGTTTGCGCCATTCAATCCTATGGCAGTGCACAATTTAAATATTGTTGGATCGGGCCGTACAACCTTGGCATGATTTGCACATGCTTGTATTGCTAGCGTGAAAAATTGGTAATTTATGAAATTGCCTCCCTGGTGTGAGATAAATTAATAAAACCATGGATTATGAATTTGGAAACTTCTCAATATAAAAAGGATTGTTTACTTGTTTCTTGATTTACTTGAGTTTACTGCATTTTCTAATAAATCCATGACTCTTCACCTTATTAATATATTATTATCGGACCACTAGTAAGTGTCAAAGTTGACTTCTCGTCTCTACTTCTTCGAGATTAGACAGGATACTTACTGGTACACGTCGTTTTTGTACTCATGCTACACTTGCTGTGCATTTTTGTTGCACAGGCACATGTATCTCTAGTGGTCTAGTGGGCGTAGCAGCATGGTTGATATAGAGACTTAGGTGATCTGCACTTCTCGAGATGACCCGTAGCCGGCAGAGTCTCTTTTAGATTACTATATTTACTTTCTGTCCAATTTGTATTCCGGATGGTTGTTGTATTAAATTGTTTCCTATAGATAGCTCATGCACTTGTGATACCGGGTTCTGTGATGATTATGAGATTATTCAATATTAAGTTTGTTAAAGACTTCATGTTTATTTCTCTGAATTTCATTATTTATTGTTTAATGTATAAAAAACGATTTCAACAAATACTAAAATGGGAATTTAGTTAACTACCTGGTGTTGGCTTGTCTGACAGTGTGTCCGGCGCCATCACGACCCTTAGTGGATTTTGGGTCATGACAAAGTAAGATTAGGATCAATTTTTGAGAACAAGCAAAACATGACTAAATTTTTCTACAGCTTGGAGATAAACCAAAAAGTTGAATTCACTGCTGTTAGATCATGTTCAAAGAGATACGAGCTGAAATGCATC